GCTACTGTGCCTATATCGGTGCGCCTCATTTGCATGGACCCTTTCTGTCCTTGCAGAAACGCTTCACCTGCTGAGGTAGCGCCTGCATTGGAGGTTTTTGGAATTGTTACAGCACCAGCATTCAGTTTTATTAGGTCTGTCTACTCAAAAACGCAATAAAATTTGAGTGGTTCATTCCTTTTTTTTGAGATAAAACAGCTGGTAGGCTTACTTTGGCAGAAGGTACTTCTCCATCAAACTATTCACAAGGTCTGTGAAGAATTGTGAGTAACAGTGTTGGTGTATTTGATTCTGTGGCCTTTCAATGTAAAAAAATATATATATATTTTCCAATTGTTGTTTAAATTTCTCAGACAAATGGTTTTGCTTTATGGGTTGAGAAAATTCTCACGTCTTAGGTTAAATACCCCATTTAAAAACCCCATTGGATCTTTCTATCTTTTATCTCCAATGCTTTTTTATTAACTCATGGAAAGTTGAGCTTTTCATTTTCACAAGACAGCGATACAGTGGCGTGTTGCCCCAATTCCACTGGGGTCAGAATTAATCACATACAACCACCTGGTTGCCTGGATGAAGTGTTTGAATTTCAACTGACAAGACGTTTAAAAGTTACTGAAATTCTTTGAAATTTGATATGACCTAGACCAGTGGTTTTCAACCTTTTTGGTGTCAAGGACCCCCAAATTGATACACATTAGGCCACTGACCTGTATTTGTTAAGATTTAGTTTCATAGGTATGGAGTAACTACATCTTATCAGTCGTCTTTTTATAAAGTGTTACGACTTGTCTGTAAACTGATTCCGGCTCACACACACTACCGCACCATGTGTGTCGCTGTTCGCTGGGGTGTCGATGACCCGTTTGTCCGCTGTGGCAGAAACGTGACTCAAACCATCTGAGTCATACTCTCTCGTCCTACTGAATAAACAAACATTTTACTTGAAGATCGTGACCAACCGGAGGAGCAATTTTCAGTTCCAGAGGTGGAGGAGTGTGAGGTCAGTGGGTGCATCAGAAGGAGGAAGAGAGCGTGAAAGCGGAGAGGAGAGAGATAGCGATAACACTGAGTGTGTGTGTGTGTGTGTGTGCGTGTGTTAATATTTGCACAGGGGTCAGCCAGAGTTCCCAGTGAGGCAGTGGCCGTATTTGTACTTTCCAGCCCCTGTTGTCTGTAGCACAGGATCATTTTGTCTTTAGCTTGCAGTTAAAAGCAAAAGAAAGCAGACAAATATTATGGACCAACATACATGCCTCAATTATCCTCTTAAACAGTTTCTGGCTTTTAATTCAGCAAATGTAGTCAGGTAAACATAGAGTGTGTGATTAATATCCATTGTTTTTTCAAGAAAATAGAATTCAGTGTTGTTAAGCCCTCCTCGTAACATCCTAATTTCCCAGTGTGGGACTCCATTAGCTGCTGTATAATAGATGGCACGAGTGGAGCAAATGTTTGAAACAACAGCTCCGACACGCAGTATTAATGTCAGAAAGAATAGGCTGTTACATTAGGCGCAGAAATTCCTGTTGGAATCAATAGACGCACAAACACACACACACACAGATGGAGGCCAGTAGCGGAGGCCTAAGTGCTAAGATAATAACCATCTGATTGGGTTAACAGAGGCAGCTCTGTTTAGGCCTGCTGCTTTGCCTCGCCATAATATTAGGTTGTCTGTCTCCTCTTTCACCTCCAGGTTATTGAACTGGCTCTATTAGTGAAAATCTACTCCGTTGTAATACATGATGAGGATAGGATGTACAAAATGTGTTTATATTCGGGCCCCAGTTGCTCTCAGGAACAGCCAGTCTTTTAGTTTTAAATAGAAAAGAGCATAATTAGCCTCAGGTGACATTTGATTGCACATCAAGCAAAACACAGTAGTAATTAATTTCTTATTGCACACAGTAAATCTCGTGGAAAGCACACAAAAAAAAAATTGGAATTTCTCCATTGTGGGACAAATAAAGGAATATCTTATCTTATCTTATCTTACCTTACAAGCGCATGACATCCCGAACAGAAATCACGTATCAAAGACGAACCAGAAGAAGAGGTTATGAATGAGGCAGCCCAGCAGTCTACGTTATTTTTGGACATAGGCAACATTTGGCCCGAGGGCGGGATGGTCCACTCTGTTGTGACTATCTGTTTTGTGTTTGAGCTTCACAAAATGCCAGAAAAGCAGACATTTCGTCACTGTATCAAGAATGTCAAGAGGAGCAGCAAATGACTTCAGCTGTGAACGGAGGACTTTGAGAGGCCTCTGCTTTTATTTAAAAAAAGGTGTCAGCACTTCTGCAGTGCCGTGCTGACAAGTCAGACATATTAGAGGATCTCTACATCTCCCCCCCCCCACCACCCTATCAGACAGTTATGTAGGCCAAGAGACCCATTTGCATTTCACTCTAGCCTCACTAGCATTGCTGCATGTTCTGTGAAAGCAGTGATAACTCGGAAAAAGAAACTGACTCTGGGAGACACTCTTTGAAGCTGGGCCCCAATTTAGGTCATCCCACTACTGTTGAACAACAGCTTTGCCCTTAGAACAAGACAGCAGAGCAGCAGCCCCGGCTTACACATCTCCTCTTCGAAAAACGAGGTAGAAGCCACTAGATTAAGCTAAATAGGCCACCAAGGCTCTTGTTGGCCAAACCGTGGCGCATTGCACAGCAACACTTGGCCAGGTGCTCAGAACTAATTTTGTGGATGGATCTTATCAAGTCTGGGACATTTGTACACTCGGTACTTGGACTGCGTTACACCCTTATAATTACATTAGGCAAGTGCAAGAGGACATTTTTCACGAAGCACCTGGAGGCCAGTGTTTTGTAATTGCAATACTTTTCGAAGGGTTCATGAACAGGTTAGTACTCTTGTGTGAATCAACACAGGCACAGTATAACAGCATTAATATAATACTTAGTTTAGAGTCCCCCTCCACTCAGAAATATGTTTTTCTTCTTCCTACAGTTGGATGTTTAAGTTTCACTGTGCAGAATGATTTATGTGCAGAATTTGTGGAGGTTTTGATGTAGAAACTTGACGCCACCAGTGCACATACACTGAGAATGGACACCTTGTGTCCAGCAGAGAAACCTTAGAAATGAACAAATTCATAAATTCTGGAATTTCTAAAGAGGTAAAAGGAATAGATGCCTTTTGAGGATTTTAATGAGGAAATTGTACTTTTTATGCAGAAAAACATGACACACACATTATTGTTCCAAGCTGACTGTTTGCGTATGTCTTAAAATTTAAAGATTCCCTCCAGACATGCACTAGGACACATATTTTATAGTTTAAATCTTACACTGTGGTACAGTTTTGGTATGTGACAAATCAGGACTTGTGAACAATGACCAATCTATTATATGAAAACATAAAAAGAAGGTAAAACAGTGAAACTGGCTGATGAAAATGAAATTTGCTTTCAGTGTTCATTTTAAGCTCTAATTACAAATACGACTGCTCAACGGGGCTCAGAAAACACACTGTGTTCTTCTGCTGTTCTCATCATGCCCTCATGCTTCATCTGCTCACTGCTGTGCGCGTGTGTGTGTGTGTGCAGTCGCGTGCATGTGCCTGAATGTGCTTCTGTATGTGTCGATCGCATTCGTTTACAAAGCATGCGTACATTTTGACGCGCGCCCCGTTTGGTTTGTACACACCCCTTCGGCTGTTGGTGCAGTATCGGCATGCTGCGAGAGTGCATTGGTGCATTCATACATATAACTGCGTCTATGTGTGAATGCGTTTTGTGTGCGCGCGCATGCGAAAATCAGGCACTAGATGTGTAGAATCCCTCAACAGATGGCCTTTTCAACACACTCGCCTCTCGGCTAAGGCTCTTGCCAGCCCCCAAACACACACGCGCGCACACACACGCACTCCTGCACAGAAATACGATCGCAGCCTTTATGCATGCAAACTGTTGCCAGACCAATTGCATAATGTATCATTTTTGAGACAGCAGACACTCGGAGGATGGAAATGTGACTGTGAGGAGGAACATTTAGTTAACCATGTTCCAGTTATATTTGATTTTGCCTGTTAGCATTTCGTGGAGCCTGGATGTGAAAGCGCCGTCCTCACTTATCAGGCAATCCCTGCTATCAGTGAACACTGTCATCAGCAACAAGCCAGGGACCGTGACTTTTTGATACCTGACACAACCAAGCAGAAAAAACAAATGTGTTTGTACATAATCTATAATCAGCATCTTTAAAAAGAACATCATGGAAAATGTGATTATACTCTGACAGAAGCCACTAACGCAAGTGCAAGTGATCCTGGATGGGAAGCTGGTGAGGGATCATGTCCCTGAGCGGCAGGTGACATGATTTATGGCTGTTTACACTCTCTGGTGGAGTTATAAGAAACCAAGACCGCAGTGCAGGAGAATTGGACATTCCACATTTGGGAAGAAAGGAGAAAAGCATGTTGGGTGTGACCCTTTAATGAAAATGTGACATACTGTAGTTGAGGTCAGAACTGATGTCACTTCTCTCCTACCCCTACATCACACCACTCTTAGTTTCATGGATGTATCCGTGAGTCTGTTCTCATAAAAACAGGCGAGGAGCAAACTGCACACAGCTGTTATGTATTCTGAATTCAGTGCATTTTGCATTTTACAATTCCTATCACATATTCCTTTCATCAAAACAGATCTCATCTTGTCAGTGTTTATCCCTCTGAGCACTAAAACAAGCCTGTGCAGGTATACTACATATCTCTCAGATGGTTGAATCCTGGGTTATATTCTGAACGCACTCGGCGTGTGTTGCCACTTGCTGCCAGTGTTGAGAACACCACCCTAACCAGCACTGGCAGTGATTATTGGCTCTCGATTATGGTGGTACGCTAGCATGAAGCCATGTGTTCACCATGATTTTCCCTCTCATTAATCTGCCACACTCTGTCTCTCCCTTCCTCTCTCCCTCCATTATATCTCTTTCTCTCCCAACCCCCACCCCTTCCTCTCCCCGGATCAGGAAGCCTCGTCCCGTCTCCCAGCTCGTCTCGCAGCAGCAGGTAACGCAGCAGTTTGTGTTGCCCTCGCAGCCCAAAAAGGAAAAGAAGGAGAGGGTAGAGAGGGAGAAGAGCGACAGAGAGCCGGCGCTCAAGAAGAACAGTCACAAGAAGATGAGGTAAACAAGCCGACACGAGGTGGAGGGATCAACAGGAATCAGACATTACAGGGATGCATGAATGAACACTGGAAACTATAGATGGTGTTTATGTTGCCACCTGACGTTAGGGTGATGCCTTGTCATATTTCATAAAATACTTCAAAAGATAGAAGTGAAGAGGGTGAGAAACACCTGAAATAAATTTCAAAGTAGTGTCTGGAGGAGGCTCTTTGGAGTTTTCAGTGACATTGTAGCAAAAAGATCAAGGTGATTTTTACTCCTGGGTAAAATCGAATCAAAAAGATAGTATTTTGCACTTTTTAACACAAGTGCAAAGGCTGGTTAATACAAAACCCCATGCAGAGTTTGAAACAAATAGTCTTTAAAAAAAAAAAGAAAAAAAAAAAGACTTTCTCAGCTCTCCTTGTGCGTTCTCTCACTTTCCCCAAACATTTCCGCTCACTCACCAGGCCGAGATTAAAAAACATCGACCGGAGCAGCGCCCAGCACCTGGAGGTGACGGTCGGGGACCTGACAGTCATCATAACGGACTTTAAGGAGAAGGCCAAGCCCACGTCCACCTCGGCTACGTCGTCCAGCACCGCGTCCACGGCCGACCACCACAGCCAGAACGGCTCCAGCTCGGAAAACACAGAGAAGGGGCTCTCCCGCTCCTCCTCGCCCAGAGGAGAGGGGAGCTCGGTCAACGGGGAGTCCCACTGAGTCACCCCTTCAAAACCTCCCCCCCTCCCTTCCCCGAGCTACCCCGGCCTCCACCCACATCTCATTTGCAAGTTCACGTCACCAGTGGAGGGTCCTGCCTCTACAACTGCACAATACTGACTAAAACTTTTTGCTTTTCTTTCTCAATAGGCATTTGTGACCCGTTTGTCAGAGTTGCCAACACATTAGACGAGTTTAATCAGTTCAAGATTCTCCACAGCACTGGAATCCTGCGTTTAGAAAGCAATATGAAACACCTCTTGCTCCATCTTTGAAGTTCGTAGTGATCTACATTTCCGCTTGGACATTTTGGTGTAATCGAGAGGATCCCCACACGCTGTCCAAAGCTCACTACTAGAATATTTACTAAGACATTCTGACAAGGAACTTCTTCAGGACTGACCTGAGATATGTCTGAGTAAATGTTTGGACAGGCTTTATGATTTCCTTCAGATGCACCAGCCAGTCGTGGGTTTTTTTTTTTTTTCTTCCTCCATATATATATTTTTGTTAAAGGAGATGTGCAGCCCCACCTTTCATCGTCAGTGGCCGGCAGAGTGACCTTTTCCCCCCCTCATGTGGAATTTTCAGCCTCTGTCTGGAATCTTTACCTACCTGTTATAAACCCAAACCATCTATTACACACTCTCAGTGTCCCTACACTGACCCTTCAACCTCACAGCGAACCTTTGCTCCTGATCTTGATACTCAAAGCTTTTACTTCGGGATTGCCTCTGCTGTAGAGAGACTTTTTTGACACAGCATAGCAGCTGTACTGCTACTGGCACCTTGTGGTGTTTTTGCGTAATGTTTGGAGCAGGTTGTTCAGGTAATGCTTGTTACGTCCGCGTGAAGGCACCGGCAGGTTTTGATAAAAGCCCTCTCTTAAACTGTGCAGGAAGGTATAGTATGTGATTTTAAAAGGATAATACCGGTGTTTTTGTGTTTTCAGTTTGTGCCAATAATCAACGCTACTCCTCTTTTACGTTATTCTCAGTTTGTCTGCACTCTATCAGTCAAGTTAGACATACAGTCATGTTTTTTTTCTGTCTTTACAACCATTTGTATTGTACCATACATAAACAAAAAAAAACACAAACCTGCATTAAGTGCTATTTTTGGCAGAATCAACTTGATTTGAGTGAACGTGTACAGAATCAGCAGCTCTCCAGCTATATGCAACTTCTAGATCATTGCTTTGGTTCTCTGAACCTCGCATACATCATCCATGTCCAGCAAAATGGCTCAGACAAGCTGTTTGTTACACTGCCTGGCCAGCATGAAATGGCAGAAGACTAAAATTAGCTTGTAGCTGGTAAAGAAAGTCTTCAGCACTACTAGCCAAGTACAGACCAAACTAGAGCTAAACCAGATGCTTATGTTGGTGTATGTCTGCTCGATATGCAAGTAGGCAATGAATTGCTAACGCATTAGCCGTAACAGCTAAAATCTGTCTCTCAGGGCTTTGAGTTGATTTTGCAGTCTTGCTGTACACTGTTGCTATTTAAAAAACCCACTTAATGCAGCTCTAAGAATTACCCAAACTCTGTTCTTAATTACAGTCAGTGTGAAATCCTACTTCATCCGTCACATTGTAAATACATGATGTAAACACAACATGTTACCAATTTACTGCCATCCTTCATGATGATATTGCACCATGGTTATTGTCAATCACACGACTCCCACTGAGTGATGTACATCCGCGCAAATACGCTAAGAATTCTTGGAAAGCTCCATATTTCATGACGTTTCTACTTTTATTTTGCGTGCTTTTATTTTCTCAACCAAGAGCTCATAACAAGCCAGGTTTATGAATTTGTTTCAGAGCGGCAAAAAGAACAGATGATCGCACAATGAGTCAAGGATTGTCGACTTTAACGGAGGCGGTAATCCAAGGGGCTGTAGCTGTAAATGACACCGGTATTCTCCTTTTTAATCTGTGCTGCACAAACGGGGCTGCACCTGCTCAGTGTCACAATGGGGGGAAACCAGAGGGCGCTCATGCTGTTCTGCCCCCCACAGTGGACCCAGTTTGGATACAGCGCCGTGCTCGTAAAACAGAAGAAAAAAAGAAAGAGCTCCGGCTTGTGGACGTGCACATTTATCAGCTGTATAGGCGATGGCGTGATGGACTTCAGAAACTGTTTAAATTCCTCCATTTTGATGTAGCAAAGTGGGGGAGCTTTAGAATCTACTAAACTCCCAGCAGAACAACTATAGATCAACCTAACTACACAATAACTTATAAAAACCTGTAGAATACTACACAGATAAAATTGATATTTCTAAAAATATTGTACTACAATGTTTTGATGTGGTTGTATTATCCATCATACCAGTGTTCTTGTCAAGATTTTTTCCTTTAACATTTTAGCACAGATCCTGAGAACTGTCATGGCATGATAATATTATGGTCTCAGTATATTGTGGGACAGGCTATGTCTCTTAGTTTGTTAGCATTGTTTAATGTGTCAGAGACGTATTTTCCTCATAGGTTGACCACACTAGCTGGGACTAGGTGCGTGGACTCGTGGGAACTGTTCCAACAGACATTTGTTATTCGGTTGTGGCAAAAATGGAAAGACACTTAAAAATATGGCGGTGTCACACGTTGATATTTTCTGTTTCGTTTGTTTTTTTGTTTTTTTTTTGCTTTGCCATGCTCAATTTGTTTTAAAATGTGTGAACTTGTTTATTACATGTCTGAATAAGAAAATAACAAAATTCTAAACAAAAAAGGATTTATCTCGTGCACACAGTTTGACTTTTTTGTCCCTTTCTGTTTCATAACAGGTGTTTACACTTTTGTATTTTCACTGGTTTGTATTTTATTTGTGCTTTTATTTTATTTTTTTTTAGCTCCATCTGGGGAACGGCTTAATAACTGTTGTTCATGTTCAACACAGTACATGCAGGATCAGTTTACTTAACTAATGGGTTAGTTATGAGCATAAACAGGTGTGGTTTACACACTAATGAATTAACCATTACATATCCGTCAATAACCTGATTTCCCCCACACTTAATGAAAATGCAGTGGAGCCACCTCAATAAAGACGACTAGTCACTTAAAGCCATGAATGGGTCTTTTCAGAGGGGAAATCAATTGAAAGTTGCTGCAGAGGGAGCCTGCAGGGGAGGGAGGACAGGAGGGGGAGCAACTCGGCTTATCGCTCCCACCCTTCCCCCATTTAGGGTCCCGACCTCCTGCTTCTTCTTCATGATGCGTATCAAGTGAAGGGGAGAGACTGCAGAGGAGACGCGGAAGATTGTCATCGCCTTCAAAATAAAAGCATACAATGTACTTGAAGAAAGGGTTAAAATGAGCATCAAAAGTTCTGATGAAAATATTACAAGATGCAAGTTAGATATCAAGAGTTTATTCTCTGTTATGGTACATTCTCTTGCCGCCAATCTTTTAGGAGTATTAGAGTGATCGAAATTGTTGGAAATAGGCTTAGAGAATTGTCTTCTTTCTCCTTACATCATATTATAGTCATCAAGAAACTAAGTGATCTTTTATTGAGGATTTAAAAAAAAAAAGTTATTCTAAATTCTAAAGCCCTACCAGAAATGCCTGTAATGACATTCTGTAATCACAATAATTGCAGACCCTGGGTCAGTCTGACTGAGCATGGTCTTTGTAGATAGAAACCTTTCAAAAATTCTGTTGATTTTTATTGATATATACATGCATACAAATAATACAATGAGCAGAAAGGCATAGGCACAATATACTGCAAGGTAAAATAAAATATAAACATTTGATGAGTGTGACAGCTGTGGAACTGTTTTCCACTCTTAAAATGTTTTAGTGCATTTACATTGTTGCACAGTATTGTAATACAGCAAGAGAGGAGCCACTGCAGTATTTTTTTTCCAGTAGTTGACAAGTATGTGCATTATGTAGCTTTAACGCGGCCACTAGATGGCGCCATTGCAACGCCTGATAAAAGTTTTATTTTCTTAAACGTTGGCCGGAAGTGCGGTACCATAGCGTCGGGCTTCACAGTTATTATTAAACGCTAGTTTCTGTGTCATGACTTTAGCTCCGAGTTGCGTTTTCAAACTCCAAAATGCGGCGTTACATTCGTGCACTACTGCTGTGCACAGTGTTTGCCGTGTTTTCGGGCTTGTACGTTTACAGTAAGCTGCTTTACTCGGACGTACCGGTCGGAGTAAACGGACCGAAGAGGGGTTTCATCCCACCGAGAGTCCCCGGAGGCAGGCGAGGGGCCGCGGACAAAACTGGGCCCCAAAGCCCACACTGGTACAATAGGTAAGGCTGGGGTTTCCAGGTCTTTCCTGCTTTAACGGGCTGCAACCGAGGAGAAAATACACATTTAATACGATTCGTGTGGGTATAACTGGAGGAAAATGTGTAACGTTACTCTTCAGGACACTTGATGTATAGGAATGCGACGCTGATTGAACGGCCCCATGCCCCATGCAAACAAAGTAATGTTACACTTCATGGACCTTACATCTCTGCATGGTTACACAGTAGTGACGCGAGACTTGGACAGGTGTGTGAGAGTTGATTGATTGATTGATTGATTGATTGATTGATAGGTCACTAAAGTTATAGGTGCAGTTGTCATACAGAGGATAGCCTGCAACAGTAGGTCTCCCACAGCCAGGACCAGCCTTACACCTGGGCTAATTAGAGAGAAACCTGGGGGAACAAATAGAAAATCCATATATTGCATCAAGTGAAGTGACTCCAGTCATAGGAATCAATGTTTAATGCTCGTTCAGCTTTGTTTGTTTTCACGCCTGACTGTCAGATCTTAGTGTTTGAGGAGAGGAACAGATGTAAGGCACATTGTAAATGGCCATCATGGCTGCAGGCGAGACTTGGTCCAGTGAGTCAAGATACAATCCATAGGGTATACTATTGCATAATAAACAGAAAATAGCTTTTAAACATTCCCTAAAGTGATATCCTCAAATAGACATAATATAAATAAACATAAGAGTTCACTCTGACATGAGATTGATTGATTGCCTTTATTCAATAAATCAAAATAGAACACCCAGAGGTGCACACAGTGTTAAAATTTATCAAGATATTGCAATAAAGTCACATGACTTATTTCCACTGTGGTCTCAACACAAAAGGAAACCTTTCACAATCAGAGATTGAGTGGCATTTTTGCTTACAAATTGACTTCAGCTCTAGTTTATACCAGGACAAAGACACACTGGTGGTAGCCAGTCACACAGCCAAACTCTAATCTGAGTAAAGTTATTTAAGATTTAAACACATTAAAAACTTGTAGTGTGTGGAAGGTTGAATTGATGTCAGACCACTTTACTAATTCAAAATTCTAGTTTTTATTTGTCCTGTACTCATATTTCTCAGTATGTGCAGTGAAATGCACGGGTGGTGTACTCCAGAGGATGTTAAGACATCCTCTGGTGGCTTGACCTTGATGTCTTTACAAAAAAAGGGAAATCTGGAGTATGTGTGTTTGCTTTATAGGCAATAAAGTCAAATCATGTACCGCCCGGCGTCAAGGCTCATAAATAATTTGAAGCCGTAGATGCCCGCCATGTAATATTGAAAGCTTATTATACTCAGGACTCAAAGTACCTTGGAATTTTATTAAATCTCTACAGACTCTGTACTCTAAAGACACTTCACATCACAATTAGAACGTCTGTCCAACTCTCCCTCCTCTCCCTCAGGTACATCATGCGTCAGCGGGGTCAGGTGGAGGCGGCTGGCGGCCTTCAGAGCAGACCCGAACCTCCAATGCACCTGGCCGTGGTGGCCTGTGGGGAGAGGCTGGAGGAGACTCTCACCATGATCAAGTCTGCTGTGCTTTTCAGCATCAAGCGCCTCTACCTGCACATCTTCGCTGAAGATCAACTTCACGCCAGCTTCATCGAGGCTGTGAGTAGGAAATGCGTGCAAAAATTAGCGTAACATAGTTTGTGTTAAGCATATCCTTTACTGTATTTATCCCTACTAGCAGTTTAATGTTTTATCTGTGTTCCAGCTGGAGTCGTGGCCTGGTTTTATTCGCTCCAGGTTCAACTACACCGTCTACTCCATCAGCTTCCCCAGTGAGAACGCAGCCGAGTGGAAGAAACTCTTCAAACCCTGCGCTTCTCAGAGGCTCTTCTTACCTGTGAGTTTCCTAAAGAGAAAAGACACTTCAGAGTTCTTTTTAAAGACAAAACATAACCCGAGTTAGGAAGTCAAGATCTTGCAAACTTGGAGCTCTGACTTGGAAAATATGTTCAAATCCTCCAATAAAATTGGGATTGGTAAACTGTAGAATTAAATTTTCCTAATTCAGGTCACCAACTTCACTTGTATTTATTGAGTTATTGTGAATTTATACTTCAACATCATACATGTAAAAGAACTGTGTTTTGCTTTTAAATATTCAGGAGCATTCAGTAAATGTAATGTTTCCAAATGATTTAAGTTTACCTTTACATGAGAAGGTGTTTTATTCTATTACCCTGAGCAGCATGCACCATTCAGAACAAGGAGAGCACTATTAATCATTATTAATATTATAAGTGACATCTGGCTTTTTGTCTTCCAATCTGTGCAGCTGATCCTAAAGGACGTCGACTCGATCGTGTACGTCGACTCAGACATCCTCTTCCTGCAGCCTGTAGACCGCCTGTGGGCGTTCCTGTCCCAGTTTAATTCCACCCAGCTGGCTGCTATGGCTCCGGAGCACGAGGAGCCCCGAATCGCCTGGTACAACCGCTTCGCCCGCCACCCCTTCTACGGCAAGACGGGCATCAACTCAGGGGTCATGCTCATGAACATGACGAGGATGCGGAGCAGGTTCTTCAAGGTAAGAATGAAGGCACATTTTTAAGAACTTAAAAAGTAAAGGATTAGTTGGTGGTGTTTGGTTTACTGTAGTATTGTACTACTTCTATTGGCCACAAGATGTCCTCCTTCTGCTGCACATGTATTGCCCTACGGTCTGAAAGGATTCAGTTTGATTCTTCCAGCACTTGACAACATCCTGACACAGTAAAGGCATCTTTTTGACTGTTGCGTATACATGTCTATGTTGACAGAACGACATGACGTCTGTGGGGCTGCGTTGGGAGGAGCTCCTGATGCCTCTACTTCAGAAATACAAACTTAACATAACCTGGGGAGACCAGGATCTTCTCAATATCATTTTCCACCACAACCCTGGTAAGTCTGCACTGTAACAAACACAATGCTTTTTAGAATCCAAAGACACGTTGAAGCGGGTTTCATTGTTATGGACGGTCCAAATGTAAATGTAAAAGTTAGATATTTGTCGAGGTCTACAGGATTCACTTTAGAGCACTGATTTGTTGACTTCAATGTTTGTGCACCTCCATTCCCAGAGTGCCTGCAGGAGTTTCCGTGCCAGTGGAATTATCGTCCAGACCACTGTATCTACGGCAGTAATTGTGAGTCAGCTGAAGAAGACGGCATCTACATACTGCATGGGAACAGAGGGGTTTACCACGACCACAAGCAGCCTGCCTTCAGAGCTGTTTACGAGGCCATACGAAAGGTGGGCATGCATTGGCAATGTGAGACGATAATCCATCTTTGGGCTTTGTGAATTCAGTCACAGTATGCAATGCAGGCTTCTTTTTATGTCTGTCCAAACATGGATTTGTGCACTGTGCAGACCAGATAAATGACAGTAAAACAGTAAAAAAAAACAGAACACTCTACATAAAAGAGGGAGGAAAAGACAAAAGAGGTTGTATTAATATCAAACAGCTGATGCATCAACTGCTGAGATTTATCTGCTGTAATGTTATCCAATGTTGCTGCCAGTGCATAAAATTAACAGCACTTCCATTAATCTTTTAAAAGCTTTTTTTATTGTACATTTTAGCCATATTCATCACAGACTTGTAAAAGAAAAAAGTTCTTGAAGATGTCCTTGCATTTCTGGGTGTGTTTGGCGATCTGTCTCACTTACAATGATTGAAGACCAAATGTAGATAACAAGAAATCATAGAGATGTGTGCAGTTTGTCTGCAGTTAAAATTTAATAACCACAAATTGTCAATAACCTTAAATATTAACAGAAAAGAATATCAAAAGGTTTTAGTGTCTGCCCCTGAGGCTTCAAAGGCTTTGTCCCAGACTGTGTTTTAACAAGAGAGACATAATATTGGGAAGATATTGATGGCACAAGAAGAGTAGCAAAGGCAGCCTCATATTTCAGTCCATCACAAGTAGAGGAAGCAGCTCGCTCTTCCCTTCTTGTCATGATCACAGGTTTTGTTTCTTTACAGTTTTTGTTTCCAGCTACATGTACTGAATGCAGAATGTCAGGTAAATTCTCAAAAGGCATTTGGGGAAATAAAGTGTCTATCAGAACAGAAAAGATCACAAAAAGAAGAGCCTGGTGAGCCTTCTCAAAGTGTTGGTGTAATTTAGTGCAACATCTGATGAAAGGAGCCCTTTTATAACCCCTGTGACACACCTGCTCTCATCCACTGCCGCGTTTCTTTACCCTCCCAGATGAGATTTTGGATTGGTGCTGACCCTAAACACCGAAAGTGTTAGCGACACCAGATTGCATTGGAAAGCACAAATCTCCACCATTTTCAGAAGGTTGGAGTAAAAGCTAATTTCCCCCATGAGGATGTTTATGGGTTGTTTCACACCACTGTAATGATATTGACGACACAAGTGGCATTTACTTAATGAAGCCATCAACATTGGGAGTCTCATTGCTTTCCTATTAACAAAGCATTGAACATAGATCAATGCGATGGCTGATCCATACCGTATCCATGGCCTGCAGTTAAAACTGCAGCTTTATAGGACAGGATCAATTGTGGCAGTAGACACACACATGTACCTGTGCTGTATATGCTGCTACCAAGTCAACATAAACACCCACACCAGGGCCTACAGCATGAACTAGCACACAGTTTTTCCCAATAGTTCGTGTAGGTATTGATACTTTCATAGATATGTGATTAAGTCTGGTTTGCCAGGAGACGGAGGAGTATAGATTGATCCTGTGTGTTTAATCTCGCTGGACAGACCTTTTCATCCATTTCTAGTTTGTTCATCTGCAACAGAACCTCAGGCTCATCTGTGTAGTGTTATGGAGTGAATAACAGGACAATACTATGTTGGCAGCTCAGTAAAAGTGCAAGGCTTCAGAAAACTGGTACAGGAAAGCACTTTTACTCAATTTTGAAATATAATAGAATCCCATTCCTGACGGGGCTTATCGTCTGTAACAAAACGCCTAATTTAATAGGCCTCTTCTTCAACTGATATTCAAGTTTGTACGAACACAAACTTCCACAGAGGGCAGGAAAGAAGCCAGAGAAAATGAAAGGGAAAAACTTATCTCAATGGGCCATACAGGGAGACCGGCTAAAGAGAGAACCCTCTGGAAAAAGCTCAGGCAACAGAGACAATCTGGCAAATGGGGGAGTGGTGGTTGGAGAGCACATACATACTGGGGCTGATTATCAATTGGGAGCAGGTGTGTAAATAGGTGACTGGTCAGTTGAGGACAGGACATTTTGACTTACATCAGCAGAGGTGTTCCTAATACCACTGAACAATGGCTCTGCTCTATTCAAGAGTCCCAGTAAGTCATGACAAAGTAACAGTGAGCCAGTACTACAATATCAGGAAACTGAAGCAGAAAAATGGAACTGAGCCATGTCAGAATGTCTGTGTCTGTTCACAGTGCAATATGCCTCAGTGTAGACCTTTTAGACAGCAGACATTATGACATGAAATAGTTGGGTAAACACAGGTGGATGGATCAGAGGCTTAATTAGTGTAATAGTTAACACCTGTGTTTACCCTATACACTGCACGATAACGTCCCTATTATCTTGGCCAAAATAATTGTGATACAAGATATTATCACGATAATCATGTAAAAATACTAAAATCATACTAGAACAGTTTACCTTAGATTTAGTTAAGAAACACATATTTATTGCGTCTCATCTCTCAATAGGCATCTCATCTCCTTGTTCTGTAGTTTGGAATCTATACTGTTTCTACATGTCCGGTTGAACTGGGATAAAACGGACAAGCAGAGCCTTAGAATTTTCGCCTGACTGGAAAGATGCTAGCTCCCTTTTGTCCCTTGTTTAAAATAAATCAGGAAATCAAGATATGACTGCATGCTGGAGAGCTAGACAGCTTTTTCAAGTCAAGCCATGCCAAGATATTCACGATAATGGAAATGTTCTTTATCGCGATATGTGATAATATCGTACATCGCCCCATCCCAGTTTACCTCCTACTATAATTTTTGCTAGATAAACGACTTTAATGATAAATCGATTATCAAAATTGTTGTTGTTCATTTTCTGTTGGCAAACTAATAGATTAATCAGCCCCATAGCCATCTGTTGTTAATGCCATTAAGAAAAAAGAACACCTATTTTTCAAGGTAGTTAATATTCCTAATAAACTGGAGCCCCGTATCTTCACACAAAGAAATGGGAATACAAACGGCAGCGCTCCTGTCTGTCTGTCTGTCCGTCTGTGTCTCAAACAGACCACAGTGGCCTGTCCGTCATAAAGCATCTCCTCCCTCCGCCGCAAGAAGCTGAGCCCAGGAAGCAGCAGTTAAATTTTTTACAGCTGATGGTATGTTTAGAATCGGAGCCGGCACACCAACAGTGCCCCATCAGCCACGCAAAATCAATACACCAACTGTAAATGCAACTTTATGACCGGTGGGTGTGTGCGTGTGTGTGCGCGCTCGTAAAAAACACCATTCTCTTTGTGACCCAGTATCGGGGACCCAACTGCAAGCAAATGAGCTGGCATAAAAAATGGTAATTCCCCTTTGATTTCCTCGGAGCGCTGTAAAGGCTCCTTCATTATTGGGAAGACATGAAATTTCTTCTGTAATCCCCGCTTATCACTGGACGGTAAGCCTATAGCATAAAACTGACTCCAGCAACGCTGACTCCTTTATGTTTTGCCCGGCTGACCGATCAGATTAGATTTGGAGTCCCATCTGAGTTCAGCATGCCTCGCGGATTTAGTTTTTAATTTATCCAGGGAAAGATATCTTCCGAGCACAAATGCTGCCCAAAGCACCACTTTGCTTACTTACTGAGGGAATCTGATCAATTTCACTGGAACAGTAGGGGGTTGAGAGTCGTCCCTCAGGGGAGTTTTGACAGCAGTTTGGGATTTCAGCTGCTCATTTCAAGTTTCCAAGCCCACTCCTCCAACCTTAAGACAACCACCACCCCCGTATTTTCCACTCTCTGAAGAAACAGGGAGATATAGGAGAGTACAAGGCATCTTACTTGGCAACGTGAGACCAGATGGATGCACAAAAGTCTCCTTCATACCACACACTTTGTCTTTATAGTCAGTAAAATTCCTTGTTTTAGCACGGTTTGTATTCTGCTCTGGTAAAGCACATTCCAAAAGTCCCTTTTCATCCCTTTGTTTAAGTGATACTATACATCACACCAAATCTAATCGATGAATGTGTTTTTTTCATTCTAGTACTCTTTTGGTGCCGACCCGGTGACCTCTTTGCTGGATCCTCTGGAGGAGGAACTGTTGAAGACGACACACACTTATTGTGGTAAATCCCACCCGCTCTTCACCAGGAGACTGGCACACAGCCTGACAAACATCAACAGGAAGGCCCCGCGTGGACGGTGACAAAAATGAATCACAATGACGGGACGCAGGCCAAAAGGAGAGAGACGGTGCTTTAGCCTAACTTTTCTTTTTTTTTTACAAGCCTGGTCAGAAAAACAAGGAAACAATGCCGATTGTGACTGGCCGTACAAACTCGCCCTTGAGCCAAAATCTGTACAGTTTACTTATAATCTTGCAAGCTGAACCTTTGACAAAATAAATGCAACCACTACAGAAACTGTTTAAATGCTAATGAACACAAGTTGTTCAAGACTACTAATGAGTTGAGCTTTTAGATATTTCTGTCAACAGTTGATTAAAGCTCAATTAGACAGTTGGGATTGTCTCAGACTGAGACTAATAACTGCTCACCTCTTGTAAGTTGCTCTGGATAAGAGCGTGATGTAAATGCTTGAAATCGACTGTAAATGTCTCAAAGGCCGGTCGGCCGTGTAGCAAAGTACTGGACTTAGAGAAAAATATTGATTACGCTTGTATATTTTTTTTTTTCCCCAGGTGTTTCTGTTACAGACTTTCACAACATTTATATTTTACTTGGGATTTTCTTTTTCTTTTTAAACCAACAAGCATCTAGTCTCTTTCATGTAATAATTTTATCCTCTCAGTGCCTTTGGTGAATGTTCGTCATGGTGCAAAAGATGTTTAAAAGTTTGGAAGAGTAGCTCTTGACTTTCCATATTGGAGAATTTATTGAACCTTGTGAAACACTCTTATTAAAAGAGACAAAAATCATATCACAACTGGACAAAGGCTTCCAGCAGAGCCCTTTTTTTGAGAGATGTATGCACTAGACCACTTTTTTAACCTTCAGAAACCACTTTATTACCAACAAGATGGAAGAGAAGTCATTTCAGAGAACATGCATGGAAGAATAATAATTTCTGAATTCTCAACTGTGTAAAGTGATTATGTGAACAGTTTCTGGAGTAGTTCTCTATATGTGATTTTCTGCAGTGGCAGAAGTTGAGTGTATGAACCCTCAGAGTACTGTCTTCCTGACTAAATGTTTGTCTTGTTATTTTCACTGAGAAAAGGTCATTTTTATGTCGTATAATGTCATTCTACATTGTAGTGATGTCGGGTCATGTGACTCTACGCATGTTTTAGTTAACTTGAATGAATTTCCTTATTTTGTATTGAACAGACAGGAATCATGAACATTGCTGAATAACTGGATACTACAGATGGGTGACAAATGAAAGGAATGGAGTGGGTTCCAGAGACTAGGAGGTGTCTGTTTCCTTTATATTGTCACCCATCTGTATATACTTACATATTTTCGTCAATGTAGACATGCGGATATGCTAAATATCCTGTTTATGAGTTTATGCTCCACAGTACAGCAAGCATACATTGCTACTGAACAAGTTAATAAGCTACAAGTTTCTCTCCTGATGCCAAAGTATTTTGTTTTTATTACTATAATTATGGGTTTTGCACCGTTGAATGTATTTTACACTTAGGGTTGAAATCAAAATGTTATTATCAGTGCTTATGTTGGTATGGTTGTAATGTAAGAATATCCTTTGTGACGTGTGTACTTGTTTATATGTCATTGTGTTATAGGAATTTTTTTTTTTACATTAAAGATTATTTCAGTTTTGATGAATTACTATTGCATTGTGTCCTTTTTAACCACCAGAGGGCAGCATTTTTTGACATGTCCACTAGTGCTTAGAGGGTAAAGGATGTGGGGGGAAAATGATGATCTTCTTAATAATGGAATAGATATGGGGAAAACAATTTAAAGAAACTAAAAGTAAACAGTTTGAGAGTTTTGAATTAAAAATGATGCTAAATATAATTAACTGTTAATGGCTGTGGATCAAGTAAATACATCTCATAACATTTTTCTCTTACCACTTTTACCTCTGTGCATCTTTGTTAGCTTACTCCATAAAGATCTAACTTGAAGAAGATTGATGCTCTGTTTCCATCGCCTCCTCGGCCAGATCAATGGACTTGCCAATAATCTATCACTAAGCCACCAGCAGTGCTACACCATTTCTGCTTCAGCTCTGAGGTGCTCATAAAGTGTAAGTGATGGACCAATAACGCAGCCATATAGGTGCCTGTCTGTGACACTGTATGGCATTGACTATGGGAAATGAGTTTATGCTTATTACCATTAGGCCGGGGATGCAACCATTCATTTATGGCTCCAGAGGTAGTTTGATTCATTGCACCAGAAATATGCTTCATTCATCACTATATATCCGTATGAGAGCTTATCAATTACCTTTATTGACCTGTGTGCTTAAATGCAACATGTAACAGGCCAGGTCCCCGGGGAGAGGGAGACAATGGCTTGAATTGAGCACCCTGTTGAAAAATTCAATATCATCCATCCTGCGAGGTTTCATTTTCCTGAAACTACTTGTTTTATATGGTAATAAATAACTCTGATTTTATTTCTTTTGTGCCATCACGGCTGGAAGAGAAACTATTCAAAATAAATATGTGACCTCCAGCGTTTAGAGTGGGGTCAGAGTGGGCAGAGGTGAAGATGAGGGAAAATGAGCACATTACAGAATAATTAACTGTGTGTGCTGTGTGTGTATGTGTGTGTGTGTTTGTGATGAAGAAAAAGATAAATAGATTTTTTCAAAATCCAGGTATGGTTGCCCATTTTTCTCTATTGTCACAGGACAACACGTTGAAGAGGAGAGATGAGTGCATAGTGGGAGGACAGAGAAAAGGTTGATGGAGTGTGTTAGTGATGAAAGAAAAGAACAAGGCTGTCAAAGCCAATATAGCAATTAGGGCACTTTGTGTCCTCAGAGCTCTATCTTTTGGATATTGCTTTCCTGAAAACAGTGTTGGACCTCAAAATGGAGGTATCAAAAGAAAACAGAAACAGAGGGATTGTAGAGAAACAAACATATATGAACTGTATTAGGGGAAACACACACTTATATAAAGAGAAATCTCAAATGTCACAACACCCACTGAGCTGCAAAGGGCTCTACATAAAAAATGGAGAAACTCATTTTCTATTTCACATTTTCTTTTTAGATAAATTGAAAGCAAAAGAACTTAAAGCGGTGGATAACTGCTGCATGAGCAACCTACCTCATCCTATTTATATCTTCACTGGTCAAGGGGGAACCTTTGCTGCTAATCCACCTACACTACACTTGTCACTTGTAATAAGCAGGTGTAGGCCTCAATCATGTTATAGACTGAGACTAAAAAAATATCCTTTCATTGCTGCATTCCCTTTCACATTCATTCATTTCACTATTATGACATACTTATTTGCTGCTCGTGTCAGTATCGGAATCTGATTATTATAATATATAATCATATATTGCAAAAGGTAATTCATAATTTGTAATTAATGGATTTACTAAAACTTCCTCCACTGGTTTAGCTTTGCTCTCCTATAACACTGTCAGACTAACTAAGGACATCACTTAAGGCTCAGCCACAAAAGGCTACATACAACAGTACTCCCAAGACCTGTAAGCAGAGTTCATTCAACCAGCGTACGTGTGTGGCAGCACAACAAGCGCAAACACAACATTCACATATAATCCCCTTATATGCAAACCTGTTAGAAAACATTTAGACATCCAGCAGACCAGGACAGACATTAAGTCCAATAGTCACTCTCATTTTAGCTGTTTTGGTCTCCATCAAGTCTTCAGGGTAAAATCTGGCTCTACAGCTGCTAAGTGCGCCTCATGTTCAAGAGCTAGTCGCTAGCATTGTCTGTTGTTTGGTGCTGGGAAGGTAGTATATAGTGGGTTTATCTGAGCTTCTTTTTGTTGCTGGAAATGACATTATTGAGAGTGTGAGAGTGAACAACAGCAGTAAAGCTGTGGGCCCTAAAATCAAAACGAAGAGTTTAAAGAAGCAAAAAAACATCCATCGAGCTGAGTGGAACTGCAGGTGAAGTCGGGCAATAATTCTCTGTGGGTTCATCACTGTTAGCTGCACTTTTCACATTACACATAGCAATTTGCGCAATTGTTCATATAAAAATATTGATTAGTGCAGCTTTAAAAAAAATGTATTTTGGCAACTTTAAACCAGCTGGAGCAAATGATGTCCATTGGAGCCCAAACCAACAGCCCAAAGGTGGTTCTTGTTGGCTTATTACTGGTGTATAAAACATAATAATGAATTATTCATTTACCATTAATACAATTAAAGGCAAAAACTCCTTTATACGTAGGAACTATTTCAATATGGGGTTTGTGAGGTTTGACTGTGCTTGGAGATATGTGTCATTTATAGAGAGCGTATGCTTTGATCTAAAGTAGAATTTTCTCTTATTCATGTGACTTGCCACATAGACAAGACCGCATCTGTCCAATTCTGACAGCTTGGATCTAGCACATAACACACGGTATATAGATGCATAATGCACACATGTTCAAACACATACATACACACAGCCACAGTAAGCAGGTATTAAGGTTGAGAGGCATCACACACACACACACTTATACTATATATGACTTCTGCTCTGCACACTTGAGCACATACGTCATATTGTACTAGATTGCACAGTAGGGGGTCATTTACATGTTGTAATAGGGTCTACATATCACTGCTGTAGAAGATGAGAGAGAGACGCATAGAGTCGTTCAGGTTCTGCACAAACAGACTGTCATGTACTGCTCTTCCTATTTACATGTGTGCAACTCCAGGGTACGTTTGATGCCCAGTGGGATGGAATATGACATCTTTGCTCACTCTAGCACTGAATTTGCTTCAGTGAATCACCGGATATGTCATATGAAGAGAAAACGAGAGAGAGAGTGATGGGCATTTCAGCAGATTGGTTTATTTACTTCACAGCTTATTTCAGTGTGTGTTTGTCAGACCCAACACGGCAAATGCCACAATGCAAAGCCAAAGGATTTCTGTCCAGCTCTCTGTGAAATCTCGCTGCTTTCAGGGGAGCCAGCACTCAGGAATCTCCCACCTCCATCAGGCTTTCTGCCAAATGTAGTCCCCATCCTTGTTTATGTCCTCACCGCTTTGTATGCACATTCCCTCCTACTTTCCTTTCTTAACTAATTTTAATCCTATTTTACCCTGCCATCTGCTGTCCTCCCTTTCTTTTTGCATTCCTAAATTCTTATCTTTTCACATTATTTCTACAAGAATCCACCTCTAAAATCCACCTCAGTGTGTGACCCAGTTTCTCATGCCTGATTTCTTTTTTCCTGCACCCATCAGAGGGCACGCAAACTTCTTAAGACAAACCACACTGCGAATACAAAAATACCCAATATGCTCATCAAACATGCTCATATTTTTTTTATGCTGCTCAAGGAATGGCAACAGAATGCTTTCAAAGACAGATTGTGTTGCAGGAGTTCTCACCTCCAAACATTTCAATAGTGTGAGTCTGTGCCTACTTAGAAATGTTAGCCTTGGGGATATGAGCTCCTTTGCTTTGTACTAGACCGCAGGCGCACATAAGAGCCAAAACAAGGCTGCTACAGTAAGACAAACGCATCCAAGGACAATAACGGCACAGTTACTGTCTTGTCAAGCGTGTGAGGTTGTTGAGTTACTACTTGCAACAAAATGTGATGTTCAATGTGGTTTTGAAGTGGTTTGAACACCTGGAGCTCCATGCTTCTCCGGAGAGTACTAGTCACTTCTGTTTAAGGAAAAGTTTGACATTGTGCTTATTAGCTCTTCAAAGGCCGATGTGACTCTTATATCTGCGTTGTAAATAATCATAGAATTAATCACATTTTTGGACTGAAGCAGGCTAGCAGTTTCTAGCTAACTGAGAAGATCGATACCACTGTTCTGGCTGTTAAATAAGGCTAACCTGTTAGCATAAAGACGGAACAGGACTTTTACACTTCAGTTCTCATATGAATTAAACAAACCAGATATATTGTCTAAAAGAATGAGCATTAGAGGGGCCGTTAGCAAAATGTTTGTCACCAATTGGGACAGAGCCAGTGTAGCCGTTTCCCCCTGCTTCCAGTCTTTATGCTAAGCTAACCTGGCTCCAGCTACATATTCACCGTACAGACATGTGAGTGGTATCATTTTTTTCCTCTAACTCTCCGCAAGAAAGTGAATGTGTATTTACAAAAATGTTGTATGATTCTTAAAGGTGTAATCAAAGGTAAATACGCTGCAGGAAACGCAGAATAACAGAGCTTTTTTAATACAAAATCCGGAGCGTTAGCAGCATGGGAACACAAAGCTACACATTTATATGCACATGTGCACAATACACATTCACACAGGGAATGCATACACACACATCTCACTCACACACACACACACACATCACCCCATCTGCTCTGCCCTGTCTATAGATCCCACATAAAACTTAAAGCCGAAGCAGAGGGGGGGTGCTGAGATAGGGGGAATGACATCAGAAATGAGAGTGACCATGCCGCTTTTATATCCCAATGTACCCTGACCCTCCTCCTCTTTTCCCTGCCGCATCCTCATCGTACAACAATAGATTTCCCATTACTGCCCCCTCCTTCACTCCATCGCTCAATCACAGCCCTACAATATTTACCCCCGGGAGTGATCTGATTCAGAAAATACCTCAGCGCGTGCTCGTGTGTGTGTGGTCATACAATATTTGTTCATGGGTGCAAAAATGA